GTTTGATAACAAAAAATTGAACATCTGAATTAATTAAATAACACTGAAATTTTTAAACAAAACTTGCTTCCAAAATTAAGTGATAAGCTATTTACTTATCGTTGAATATGATATGCACTCAAATGTATTAGATTTAATACTTAACAATTCAATAATTTAATGGATTTAGACTTCAGATTTCAAATTTCAGACTTCAGTTTCATCCACTGTATCCGAAATACAACTGGTCTCTTTCTTGGACCTTCAAAAATCATGAGAAGTAGAATGGTGATTAGCTGAGGGGGCCAACTTGAGAGCCAGAATTTAACAATATAGGCTTAATTAATATGGTAAACCTTCTCAGAGTCAGAATAAACTATCTGGCCTTTTGATTTAGCAACTGCATACAACAACAGTTTTGAATTCATGATGCTCTGATATCTCCACATAACAAGCTTCGTTGACACTGTCCAACTATACACTAACATCAATTTCCAGACCTATATTCTACTTTGATTGATGCGCTTGCATGGTGAAAAAGCAATAAAAATCAATGCACTTGAAGGGAAATCACGGGCACATCCAAGTCAGACTTGTCAGCTATAAAGTCGACGTTTCCGCATTCTCATACTGTAAAATAGATTGACATTTCTAGACATGCAGGAATGTGACGCATATTGGCCAGCCGATACAATTCTTAATAACGTTTCACAGGTCATAGGAAGAAAACTGAAAAATTATTGAGTTTAAGCTATTCTCATCTCATGAGGCGGACCGCAACCATAAATAGTTAAATATTCGGATATACTGCTAAATAAAGGTGATATATTTTCAAAACTAGTAGCAGTAATTTTCAAAAGTGCCAGAGTGCCTAATGCAATAAAAATCAATTCTCATGCTGACTTGCCTGAACATGTTGCCGGCTGAGCTGCTCCAACCTATCAAATTTCATCTGAGAAGACACGACGCACTGCTTGGCTTTTCGGGATGGATGCGGTTGGGTGAAGGCAGAGTCATCAAGCCACCAAGCAGCCATACACTACAGCTTCCTGAAAGTAACTATTCAGAAACTGTAGAGACGACGGATGCACCTGAATTCATTGACGACGAGGCATTCATCATGCTATTAAAAAAATGGAAAGTTAAATCATGTATAGCCCAAGCCACTCACTTACGTCTTGCTTCTAGTAATGATGATTTCTCTTCGTCCAAATTTCAAAATAGACCCCCTTTTTTTTGTTTTTTTTTTGTTTTTTGGTTGATAAAACCTGCTCCTAATCGCATAAACTGTATATCTTGGAGTTGCAAAGATACGAGCAGACAGGTTGGTAAGTACATCGTATTGCTGGTTTCGAGGGTTCAAACATGAACGGACAAAAATGCCCTTTAATTCCGATCAGATTTGTGGTTAAAGTCATCAGAAGTCCTCAAAGTATGCATTTTTAATTGTTTAAGGATCAATCGGAAACAAATTTTAGATGAGGGGCCAAAAGATGACAACGATAATAGTTTAAGGGCACCTCAGGTTTTTTCCTATATATATATATATATATATATAAGCTGTTGGTGTTGGCCCCACATTCAGGGAAACCTGTCATTAATCCACAAATTATCTCCATATTAGCTATAGGGACATTGGCATCTTAAAAATAGATCATCGTCAAGAAAGTCAACTTTAATGGGCGATTAGGCATGCGATTGACATATGCTACGAGTATGCCTTTTAATTAATTTAAATGTAATTTGAAGATTAAGACTTTGACATTATTAATTTGAAGGCATGCCATGCCATTCTTGCTTACTGTCAGCCTCAATGGTTCAGAGCATGCCAAAAATTCAAATCCCGCAGATAACACTACTGTGCCACTTTCCCAAGTAATAAGAATCACCATTCTTGACGTACATAATGTAAAGCCATTTTTAAGCTGTATTATTCTGATTGTTGCTTAATTACATGTGTCATTATCTGCTAATGTCACATTGCAACCATGTTTAGGTGCGCCACTCGTGCAAGTTTTGCTGCTAATGATGTTTGTGTTGTGTGCCCTCTTTTCTTTAAGATAAGAGAATATGATGTATTTGGTTACTGAAGAATTGCTGTCAAGCTTTTGGTGATGCATGTATATATGTTTTCCAGATTTGTACTCTCCTGAAACAGGATAACAGCTTCAAGGTTTGTATAGAACATAGATTAATTAGACAAGTTTTCAATCAGATCATTTTGCAAAAGATCATAAAGAATTTGACAATTTTTTTTTTGCACTTATATTGATTAGAACATAGATTACCATTAACCAAAATGCTGTAATACCGGTCGAACTGATCCAATCCAAGATCACTGTATATTCCTGCTCCTTAAGTAATATGTTAGGTTTCCTTTCCTTTTTATGGTCGTAAACTTTTCTGAGTGCTGCTGGTGGTATCTTTCTCAAGTCAGTCAGCAATGACTTGCATTTTCATTACAAATGATCGATCGTCAGTCTTTTACTTGAATCGGTTGGAAAGAATCTTAAACTAATTATTAGGTTGATAAAAAAAAAAAAGAAAGATACTAATTCCGACTAGCTTGCGGGTGAAATGTACACAATAAATATGTGGGCTTAGTAGGCCACTTTTTTTTTTTTTTGGGGGGGGGGGGGGGGGAGTACCTAAATGCATATAAATTTCAACCAAGCAATTAAACTCGATCTGTTGTTCCAATTGCACTTAAAATAGATGGGAGGTGACCTAACAACAGCCGTGTTAGCACAGTTGTACGTGGTTGTGGTTTCTCATCTGCAAAATTCTGTGTTGGTTAACTACCAAACTTGCATGTACCAGCAGTTTGGCCTAGAAAGCTTTGGGGCTACCATGGTAAAGTTCCTTAATTAATATGTCAAAAATTTCTGCTTAAAGAAATTTTTTAATTTTCCATAACCCATTGCTGCTTAAAGAAGACAAAGAAATCACAAAAAAAAAAAAAATTCCTTAATTAATATGTCAAAAATTTCAAGACAGGTAGCCAACAACTTCGTAGTTAGCACCAAGGTGGAAGAAGTGGCAGAATTAAGGTACAAAATTAGTTTAGAACTTGGTGGTTGATCAGGTATTGTCAATTTTGGTATATATATCTTGGTTCGTTAAATAACCACCCTTTCTTTTTTTCGTTTGCTTCAATGTGACCTGAGCTGGTGTGCAACATCATTAGTTACTTGAAGTAAACTTATCTAGTGAAATTCTATCTGAATCGAATTTTCAGAAAGATAATCAAACTTTTCTTTTTGTGTTATACAAACAAAACATATATTCTCTCCGTCCCATTGAAAGTGTCATACTTTCCTTTTTTTGCTGTCCCAAAATATTTATCATGTTTGAGGTTTCTAACTACTTTATACTTTGAAATTTCCTTTATGCCCTTAATTAATGATGGATAAAGACAAATATGATGGGATTGCTTTCTACTTTTTTTTTTTCTACCAAGACATGATTAAGGGTAAAAGTGAGACAAAAAGAAAAAATTTTTAGTAAAACATACAATGTATAAAAAGCACATATTCCGAAACATGACTAAATATATAAAAACGGGGGGAGTAGTCAGACTGAGAGCTCTTTCTTGATTCTATGAAAAATAACGGAGGGAGTAATTTTTTTAAACATCAAAACCAAAAAGGCTGTGATAAAACCCCATGATGAGTCAGGATGTGTGTACGCACCATCAATTTTTGTTGTGGATTTTGGTCAGTTTCCAAAACTATGCACAAATGTGCAGCAGACCACGAAATGTGACCTTGCAGTTGAAGATGTGCATGCCACAAGGAATTGCCGACCTTTAAAAGTGGGTTACAGCCAGTGGTAGAAGATTAGAGGAAGCAATATGTATTTAGATTTGGAGGAAAATGACACAAAAAAAAGTAAAAAACAACATCAGGTGGGTCCAAGATAGATAATAACCTCTAAATCACAAAGTTGCAAGTGTGAAGCATATCGCAATTCCGACCACCATTGACTAATCCTCCAAATTGAACCAAACTCCATTCATTTATTTAGCCCACAAATTGCATTGACTCAGCTAACTACTAACCTTCATCCGTATATCTCGACTCATTATCCCAAGTGGAAGTGCAGAACAAGTGCAAGTCAATGAATCTTTGCCAGCAGCTAGCCCTGGTGCTTACGTTGCTGGCTCAGAAAAATCTAGTTCAATGATGACGCGTGAGATCATTTCACCAACAATAATCATATTAAATTCCATTTATTGCAATACGCTAATCTAAACCACAGCCTGGATTAAGATAATCAGGGTGTAATAGTAGCCAAAACCTGTTGCAAATTTGACACCTGACGCTCTAATATTTCGTTTTAAGTAAAGTGGCGGTTTAACCAATTAATGACTTTTTGCCGTGTCTAAATTTGCTTCGTATTTTAAATTTAAAATTCAAATTATAATATTACCTACAATATAGCGTGGAGTTTATATCTATTGAATTTAGGTGGAAACAAACCTTCTACAAGTGAATTTTACTCTTTTTTTTTTCTTTTGTTTGGTCCTCATTATGCAACCAATCTTTCAGTTAATCAGCTATTTTTCGAGCAATTATGTTATTTAATGATTATATAAAATGATTGATAGGTTAAATTAAATACCCATGTTATCCAGGAAACGAAAAAAGAAAAAGAAGAAACGTACGGGCACTGGATGTATAGTAGTGGAACAGAGTGACATACCTTCAAAATTTTTTTAATTGTCCTTGGAAAATAAATATTTTTCTTTATGCTATTTGGAGAATTTAACGCTAATAATTTGTTTAAGTTAACGTTAACTTAAAGAAATCCACATAAATCAGAAAATCGATAATAACCATCCAAATCCAAAATTGATCAAGTCAAACTAGAACCCAAAACCGTCGCCTCCTGTTCCCCCACACTGACTGAACCCCACCACCACCCAGTCTTCTTTATAAATACTCCCCACGCCGTTCCATTTCCCACTGGAAATCCCCGTCAGGCAGCAGCAGCAGCAGCACCGCTAAAAACCCAACAAAATGTCCCGGCTAACTCCACCATGCACTCCCTCCCCCACCTTCGCCACCACCAGGAGTGTTAGCTTAATACGGTCCATAAATTCTTTCTGGGCTAAGTGCACGAGACAAGCTAGCAAAGCTACAAAGAAATTTGCTACAAATTCACCAAAGTCGCCTTTGGCCAAGCCAAAGCAACTTTTGGTGACCCTTAGCAATAAGGCTATCAACTTTAAGCACAAGAAAAAGGTGGATGAAGAATTTGAAGGTGAAATTGATTTTGGAGACGGAGGCCTGTGGCAGAGGAACATCTTGATGGGTGATAAGTGTCAGCCGTTGGATTTCTCCGGTGTGATTTATTATGATAGCAACGGAAAAAAGCTTTCGGAGCTTCCCATGAAGTCACCTCGTGCCAGTCCTCTGCCTAGCTATCTGCAGAAGCAATAGAAGAAGAATCTCCTGTTTGTGCTGCTATTACTTGTTTACCTGAGTTTTAGTGTACAAGTGGCTACATACGTGAGTCTTTTTTTTTTTTTTCTTCTTCTTCTGCTTCTTCACTTTTGTTTGGTCCAATTTTTGGGTTTTGATAGTTGTTGCGTCTTGACCGTGTATGGCAGAAATCTGGTAAATGAATTATGCATGTACTAGCTGTTGTGGGACACTGAAATAGATGGGGAACTTTCTCTTACATTTTGGGGGCCTCAAATTTAGAAAACCAGAAACCAGTGTCCATGTTTCTTTCTCTTTTTCCCTAGAAGTGTATAAAATGTTTTCATTTTTGAGGGATGTGAACCTCTGAAATGTTTTGTAGTGGAAGGTTTCAAATTTTGTTTCCGTGTTTGGCTCATCTCATATTCTTTATATTTAGTTTCCTATACCACTATCAATATATGGTTCTCAAGTTTATAAAGAATTTTAGTATTTTCTTCCTAGAATTTTAGTTATTGTTGGTTCGTACTTCGTACTGAGATAAATTAATGTGGGATTATCGCCTAATGTCAATATTTATAATACTAAGGCCTTGATTTACTTGTTAAAGTTGAGACCCTAAAACCTGTAGGTCCTGCTTCGAGTCTTATAATCATCAAACTGTGAGTCTGTTCCAACTTTATGTTGGTATATATGTATCCCACTAAATGTAGAGATTAATTGTAATTGTAATTAATTATGATCTCTTTGTAATCTTTTGTATTGTTCCCACTGTTGTGGGTTATTGTAATCTCATAGAAAAATGAAAAAAAAAAAAGACTAAATAGTCTTTATTGGTCAAGTCTGCTAATGATATTCTAGATTCGACGCTTCAACTTTTTTTTTTTTTCATTTTTTTAAAATTTTGATGGAGCTGCAGAACTATGAAGTAGCCATTCAATCATGACTAACTTCCAACTTCATGAAGAGGCAAGTTATCTAGTTCATTCAACTCTTCCTTCATCCAAGGGAGATGAATTAGTACAAGATATATCTTCCTTATTTGACCCGAATTCATTTCTTTAAAGGGGTTTAATTGATCAATCATTTCCAGAAGCTTAAGCCCTCCAATTAGCAAAAGTTTTGTGGTTTCTTTCAAATTGAGAAATTGTTAATTAGTCTACGCGGAGCATAATTACAGCCAACCTGGACCCCTACGAAACTCTGACTGAGTGAATATATGAGGTAGGGAAAAAAGGAAAAACCCATACAAGAAGTACATAAATACATAGGAAATTTTTCTCAAATTAGTTTGTCAATGAAGGTTGGTTGGACAAAGCATATTTTATAGATCGCTTGCACGAATATGCAGACATCATACATCAAGTCGATCCTTATGTACTGTATTATAACACTAATGATAACCTATTTTATCATGCATATAATACCAGACCTGAACCTAGTACACAAATTATTTATAGTATAGGAGATAGTAGTCTTAGTGTCAAAAGAATTAAGGTAAAATTGTGAAGAGTATGAAGTCTAAGATAATTGGATTGGAGTGTTTAATTTCTAATCGCTGGTCCTGTTTGGATTGCAATTTTTCATTGAAAATTTTTTTAAATACATTTTTCAAATACCTTTTTACCTCATATATATCACATTGTTAAAATATATTTTTTTTCTATAAATACTTCAAAAATTTGTAATCTAAAAGGGTGATTTTCCTTGTGTTGGGAAAAGATTAATCATTGGCGCATGAGGAATGAAGGGGAGTTAATATTGCTAACCATCTTCCAATTTTTCATTTTTTTTTTTTTTTTTTTTGTGAAATGCCCGAAATAGTGTTGATTAGCTACCTTTTATCCGTAGGGCTAGGCCTAAGGTTCGTTTCTCCTTTAAGACAATCATAGCCTCCACTCCAGGCATGGCCGGTGGCTGTAAATGATGAAGAAACAGCAAAAGGAATGGAACCCAATTCTTTCCTTCATGTGTTTGTTTTTCGCTTTAGCTTTAGTTTATGAGAATGTGGTGGCTGGGGAAGGTAAAGTTCAAGATAATTCGCTTTGCAAATAAATTAATACAGAGCACCAATTCTGAGTATTTCCGTCTCTCTTGCCCAGTTCAGCTGGGGTCTGCTCCTAGTTTAAAACCTTTCTCATCAAGCATCTTAATTAGTTCAATTGTTTCTACCACCAACCCTCCCCCCCCCCCCCCCAAAAGTCTTGTATATACCAAAAAAAAAAAGGATTCGGAATAGAACTACAAACGAGTCGAGTTTTAGCCTAATCGAATCAAGCCTTGATTTAGTTTTATCAAATTTGAATTCGACCTCTACCTCGACGAGTTGCCAATTTAAAGTTCGTGTTCGAGTTCGAAAAAATAAAAAATAATTATTTTATTTTTTAAAAAATAAATAAAATAATTTTTCTTTAATAAATAATAAAATATTAGGGATATATATGTACTTTTACTATTAAAATAAATAAATAAATAAATAAATATATATATATATATATATACTCGAACTCGCAAGTCGACTCGCGAACTAACGAGTTTAATATTTTTTGAACTCGAGTTTGAGTTTGAATTCAATTTGGCCTGCTCGAGCTTAATTCGAGTTCGATATTGATCGTACTCGAGTTGAGCTTTGATGCGAGCGCTCGCGAGCGACTTAATTTGTTCGCAGCCCTAATTCGGAACTAAGTCATTGGCATTAGCTTTCTGGGGAGTGTATAGATGCCAAATTCCCGGGTACACTTTTTTCGCTTCCTTTTGAAATTCTTGAATTTGCTAAAGGCCCCGGAATGATTTGACTTTTTACATGGATAGGGGTAGAAGATATTATTATTCTCAAAAAAGATATTATCGAAGGAGTTGAACTTCCACGTAGAAAAAAATTTTTGAGAAAAAATAAGTTTCCAAACAATTTTTTGGAGGGGGGCGGGGGGCGGAAACGTTGTGCACTAGTCAATATTGTCTGGCAGAGACTTCAGCATTTCCAGCAGAACAACGAACCCAAGACTTTGCCGCTATAAACTCCCCAAGGCTTTGTTTTACTCATTCATCGGGCTCTCAACTTCATTCATCCATCCTCAGTCATGCTCATTGAGCAGTAGCAGTCAACTGCACCGGAATTTTCCCCCATTTTTTTTTCCTTAGGACATTAATTTGACAAAGTCCATGTTCAAAGTCCACGTACGGATATTCTTTTATTTTTCTTTCCTTAGTTTCTCATATCTTAAAGAAATCTACCCAATTAATTGATCACCGACTAATTAACATAATTAATCATTATTTCGAGCATGGAAAAATGGTCTCGTCAGCTTCATCTAGTTGAACATATCGTGATCTATGTATCTTGTGGTGCATTATTGAGATTCGTAATCAATCTTGAATACCAAGGTACAAAAATTTCAAAATCGACTTCTTCAACTTATAAAATCGCTTTTGATTAAAACTTAAAACCTAACCTGCGTTTCCCCTGCTAGTCCAACATCCTCACGTTTTACATAGTGAATCTTTGTGAGGTTTTAATTAAGCTGTTCATTTTTAATTTGTGATTTAAAAAATGTTAATAAGCCAAACTTACCCATAATAAATTTTACTTTGTGGGTCAACGGGATATGGTTATCTTCAACTTGGGACCTTATGATAACTGAGAGGCCGGTATTGATCGAGCAATAAATCATCACAGCCTGGCCATCCATGGCAGCTGATAGCTCTAGTAGTTTTGGATAATAAATTCGTACAAGATTGCAATGGAGTGTGTGCCAAAAGTTGGAAGGTCTCCAAGGAAAAGGGAGAAAGAAGAAAGTAGGTGGTGGTTGAGCAAAGAAGAAGATTAAAGATGAGAATGGCTCGTGTATTCTCTTTGAGATCTTGAGAAGGAATGACTCGGGCGTGTTTGGGGATCAATTTTTTCGCTAAATATTATTTTTCTTATATCACAAATATGTTTTTTTTTAGTTATCATCTTATTTTTTTTCAACTATCCTTTGTATTTCACATGCATGCATTATATCAAAAAAATTATTATAATGATTATTTCAAATAATCTCCTGTCTAAACAAACCATTATATATTGATTGAATAAGAATCCCAATGAACTTGCTTGCACACTTCACTAATTCAGTTGGCCCTTGTTGAGACACAAAATAAAGAAGAGGCAACCCAAGTTAAAAGGGAGAGAATGAATTTTGACGTTGTTTTGGAAGAGGTTATGGTTGTTTTGGGAGGAGGGAAAAAAAGGAAAAAGAAAAGGTTATGTTACTAATGTATGTGCTTTACACATTTATTCACTCATCTAAAATTCTTGATTTATATTAGATGGACTAAATCGGCATGAAAGGATACATATACATATATATTAAAAAAAAATAAGTGCAAAATTGGCATATTTATTCACCCTTAAATATGTAAACATCTATTTGACTGGACTGGAGAAAGAGAAAAATACACATGGGATAGGAGTCTTATTCAAATTTTCTCCAAGCACAAAAAAATGGTCCGGTCAGCTTCATTTAGTTGAACATTTCCTGGTCCTGTTGGAATATCTTGAAATACGTTATTGAGGCTAGTTAGTAACCAATCTTGAATATCAAATTTTCAAAATTGACTTCCTAAAATTTTTTTCAAATTGTATGTGGGTTTACCGGGGCAGTCTTAATTTGCTATGAATATTTACCATCAATTTAGTGCCTATCGCTTTACCTGCAAGTCATAATAGCACAGGCTGTCTTCCTCTTGCCAGCCCAATATCCTTCTTAAAATCAATAACAAAAGTTGTGGTGATTTTTCCAGCTTGACTTGTGTTGTGTAGCAAGAAGTTGACCACTTTAATTCGTGTGCAGTGCAGTGCATCCTACTTTAATATGGTACTATGCCCTTCTCAAACTCAAAGTAATAATTAAAATATGAAGGTACAATCATAGTTATTAAATTCGGTCCGATCCGACGGTTCGACCGATCAACCTGACGAACCGATCACTAAATCGAGCCGATTCTTCAATTGGATCGTTTCTGCATATGAATCGTGG